CGTTCAGGTCTACTATAACTCCCAACACGATCATATGCAGAAGTCTCTTATCTGGACCAGGATGGGGAATCAACTGTGGTTGGGGGGAATTTAAGAACAGATATAAAAATTGACAGAGAGGAGAAATAAAAATTCCAGAGAAATCCTGGTAACATTACCCTGAAAAAAACCTAACAGCACTTTTGGGCACGTTTTGCCCAAAGAGGCTTTGAATTGTGGAAAAAGAAGCTATATATATTTTGTCTCACAAAATGGTGCTTTGTAAACAAATAGGGATGTGCTGTAGTCCAATTTCTCCTCCTAGCAACAGCAATCTATCATCTCCCCAAAACTGGCTAACCGCTCGCCTCAGAAGAAGTAGTGCTCCTGTCAGGACCGACCCCTCAGGACTTTGGTTCTAGTTTCCAGACTTGTCACTAGCTGTTGGTGACCTCAAGCAAGTCATTTGGCTTCCCTACATCTGTTTCCCCATCTGTCAAATGTGGAGAGTGATGCTAATATCTTTATGAAGTGCTTTGAGATCTCTAAAGAGCCATAGTTAGGAGAGAGGCATTTTTATCTGCTTACCGTTTAAATTATTTCCCCCATATTATGCAAGGAACATAAGCTATTCTATGACGTATTCTCGAGGTGGCTTACATAGGAGACATACTCAAGTTTCCTAAGACCAGTTAACACCTTTCTTTCTGACAGATTTCTTATGACCTGAAAAGGCATATTAGATGTTTCAAGTCCTGCTACCTCCGATTCCATTCTGCCGAACAATGACACAGGGGCTCTGGGTATCATTCACACTATTTACCTCTTGCTTGCTTCACATTGTCCCTGAAGCTTGGAATAATCTTTCCCTTTCCATGTGCATGCCAACCACTTCACTTGCTCAAATGGCATGTTTAATACACATGCATGAACCCGTAACAAAAAAAATAATCAAAATACAGCTCGATATTATCAAGTATATATATATTTTTTTTAATTACTCAAAGAAACAAAGACTACACACACAGAACAAATACACACAAAATATGATCTATTCTGACTTTTTAAAGCAGCGCCTAATCGCATAGCATGCTTCTCTGCCCACTGAGGCATGGGATTTTGTTGCCTTAATCCGATTAAAATCTACAGGATAGAGACCATAAAATCACACACGTATCTAAGGAACTATATAATCCTACAGTTGTCATGGTCTTGTTTTCCTTTTTGGACACCACTTGACACGTGTCCTGTTGCTGGACTATCTAGCTAATTTGTAAGTAATTACAGCAAGCAAAATCCAAACATGCTTGCTCTTGGCCAGGGAAGGCAGTAGTTAATACTGTACTGTTTCAAAATGATTGTTATATGACTGGACATTATTTCAACCCCCTTCCTTTGTATTGTGGCTTGCAAGATACAAAATGTCTAGTGCATCAGCTAGATCTCAGTTGTGTTAACTGTGTCTCAGCTGAAGTCACTCTGGATATCTTCATATATAGCTCAGGGGAGCTGAAGTTAGACAAGGAGCAATCAGTCCTGACATACACTTTTGTGCCTGACTTAACTATCTGTCAGTTAACTTGAGGTACTTTTCCTACCTCATTACATATTTATTCTAGGGCACAAAATATGTGTCATCCTTTAAAAAAAATCAGCCCGTTACAAGGTACGTTTCCAGCACTTTCCTAAAGTATCCCTTCTACATTCCATTAGACCGTACAAGTTTATAAAACACATTTTCCCTTAAAATATTGTTACCTATTACATGGTCCAGGAGTAGCTAACCTGCTGCACAAGTGGCACACAGCAGAACAGGGAGGGGACAGGTAACTCTGTAGCAGATAAGGCAGAGAGCAGAAAGCAGAGAAACTGATCCTGCAAGGGAAGGGGATCGGATGCTAATTGGCGGCCTGTTGGCCAAAAAGGCTGGATGCCACTGATGTAGACAACAGACTTTTTACAAAATAATGGTATGCAAGTTGGAAGTGGGGAGATGGGGGGGATGTGAGGTTTGTGGGTGGGTATATGGGGTTTGTGGGTATGGACTTGTGGGGAAAGTTTGAGAGGGGGCTGTCACATGCCCACCCTCCCCACCCCCCTGCAGCACACAGCCCCTGGCACCGGCAGCAGCAGCAGCCAGCCGGGCCATCGGGGCATTCGTGGCCTGCTACAAGCACAGCAACCTTGGCAGCACGGCGCCACCTGAGACCTAAGGGCTGCACATGGCAAACAGAGCTGGCCCTGCCTGCTGGCGTGCACCTTCATACAGGACCAGGACGGCTCTTGTTACCACCTGTGGCTCCTGGGTGTTCACCATGTGCAGCCCCTGGGTCTCAGGTGGTGCTGCACTGCCAGGGGGCTGTGCTTGCAGTGAGCCATGAGGGCCATGCCAACCTGACTGGCTGCTGCTGCTGCTGCTGCAGGGGGCTGCAGGGTGGCATATGGTGGCCCCCCGTCAAACCCCACCCCTACAACACCCCCAGAAACCCCACATCCCCTCCATACCCATACCTTGCATGTCCAGCCACCAGACAGGATGGGACCTGCTGACGGAAGCTGGAGCTGCAGGGGCAGCTGTTGCCACATCCTGGCTAGTGAAGGGGTCAGAGGGAGCTCTGATTTTTCTATGATAAAAAAGCCAAAAGCAAACACCAAAGCATATAGATATTTAGAACGTATGTTATTATGATGGTAGAGGCACTGGTAGGCATCCAAATTGCTTTAAAATTGTAAATATATCAATAACACATTGCCCAACTGATCTCTCTCTTCATATATAGTGGCGCTTCATTTTAATTGTGGAAGAACACAGTTTTTGGGTATTTTAATGAGTGAATTTGGGATTTTTATTTTTTATCAGAGAATTTGCTATTTTTAAACAGGGAACATCAGGATTTCTGTTAGTGAGGCAAGTGGTGGAACGCTAGCACCAGGGAGGGCAGCTGGAGGGCAAATGAGGTGGCTGATCTCTTGGACACTTGGGCACAGGAGGACATGCGTTTCAACAGTTCAACAACAAGCGCATCTTCCAGGTGATAGCTGTCCAGATGGTAGGATGGAGGCACACATGGCAGCAGTGCCACATGAAGGCTAACTGTGCAGCCACGGCCCACTGGCCCACAGGTGCAGGCGGCTCTGCTGCAGTGCCTATGCCACAGGCCAGGCAGCTGTGCAGTCCCCATCAAGGTCTGGCAGGTGTGCAGACATGGGGCTGCAGGTCAAAGGGACCAGATGCCCTCACAGGTGGCAGCAGCCCCAACTACTGGACTTCTGCAGTGGGTGCAGGGGCCACTCTAGGTGAGGGCTGCTGCAGCAGTTCAGCAGGCACAGGGGGCTACTGTCCCCACATATCAACTGGCTAGGCCTCAGAAGCTCACCGGGGCAGCTTTTTATGCTGCTGGGGCCAGCAGAGGTGGCTCTGTTAGTACCTGAAAAGCATATATTTGAAAGATACTTGAACTGCTACTGTTCAAGTATAATGGAGACCTACTGCTTTCTACTATTCAGATCAGTACCAGATGTCATTCTGGGAAGTGAGCCTGGGTTTATAAACCTATATTGTCCTAACAAAAGCCTACTAGAAGCACATGCCATGCATACTACAGCAATAGGTAATGCCCTTTATTATTAATTATTATGAAATGTAAAGAAAATGCAAGCAAAACCTACCAGCATGTTGTAGGCCAGATCCCTATGATCCCTGCTGACTTCCTGCCCCTGGGGCACGGGGCTGGACTCGAAGATCTTCCGAGGTCCCTTCCAGCCCTGTCTGTGAAATCTCTTCCATGTATTGGGCATTTAAGTGGCATGTAGCCATTTAAGTCTCTATGTACAATCCTATTCCACCCTGTTTCCCTGAAATACCATAAATGTATTTTCTTTTGGGGCAAAACATCTTAGCCTAAAGAATATGTCACAAAAAGGAGGAGGAAAAACAGGAGGAGAAAGAGAAGCACCTACCCATCTTTTGTGATAATGGGGTGCAGCGGCTGCCCTACTCCTGGTTTCTGGGAGCAGTGTGGCAGGGAAAAAACTCCCTGTGCCTTCCCTAGACTGGGTCTAGCAGGGGAGAAGAGTTGTGAGGCAAAAGCCCAAATCCATTCCTAGGGAACCCCAGTCTGGGGAGTGGGGAGGAACCCATAGGGGCTGCTCCAGCCCCCCGTCAGACCAGTGATCCTATACATTTCTGCCAGGAGAAATGAACACCTGTTCATGGCCTTAAGAGTCTGAAATGCCTCAATTACTATTCAGACAGCTAATAGGAAGAATAGGATCTGGTCCTATGAATGAATTCCAATCTTAAATAGATTAGTTTATTGTGCCATCTAGATACTTCACAAGTGTATTACTATGTGTGAAATAAGAAATAACCCTGAGTGGCAGAAGGGCATTCCTAGAATAAAGAACTACAAAGGTGGGAACACATTAGATGCAGGAGCATCCAAAGGGAGTATTAGATGCCTTAGGATTTTGGATGAAAGGAAGCAGAAACCCTCCTTCAGAACTGGAGAACAGCAAAAGCAAATGTCTAATATGTGCACAAGGTTTGGATCCATGTACATTATTGTAAATTAAAATAACCATCAAATATTGAATTAACAGTCAATTCTATTCTAAGGAATCTGATTACACAAGCCATTTGGGGAAGACTCCTGTGGTTTATGATTGATAATCATCCTAACTCTTCAGGATTTAGCAGGCTTTAATTCCTTCAATTGCCCATTAATTTTCTCTCCCAGCATCTCTCTCTAGTGAAACACAGTTAGCCTTTTGACATCACCAAATGCCATAATTAGCTATAATCCCAAGAAAACAAAATATGCACTTTCCCACTAATCTCTTCTAAAATACTCTTACTTACCATGCTTTGAGTTCAGTCTCTTATAAGCAAGTCCCTGTGAAAGAGCTAAATCAGAGAGAATGAAAAACACAAAATTGATGTTTTTTTCACTTCCTTCTAGGGCTGAAGAATTCTTTACAGGTATGATATTTGGCTATTTTTGCAATCATCAGCAGTGAGATGCATTCCATTTCTTTATTTTTTTATTTGACAAGCAGCAGTATCATGTTCATCATCATTTTTTTACATTTTAATGTAGATACAATTATTAGGTTATCTGTCATATTACAATATTTAGGGTTTTTTTAACTTTGTCTTTTAAGATACATTAAAAAACATCAACTGCAAATGTGAAGGGAGGGGTGGGGAAAAAAAAGCATGGTACCCAACCAAATTTCCACATTTCATCAATACTTCACTCATTCTTTTAGTAAAGTTTTAAGAAATGTCATAATGACATGAGCTTGAAATATCTATAGGCATTTTCATTGACGCTCATGACGTGGCACTGGTGATGTTGTAAACAGCAGAAAAACAGGGGCTGCCAAGTGACCAATTATGGAGGCACAGGCCTGCCTCTTCCCACAGGAACACACCAAACAGTGACAGCAATGATCTCCTTACAATCACACCTGCCGGATAGCAACATCATGCTACGTAACTGTATTCATCTGCTGAGGCTTGGCTTCGTTCAATGTACTGTTTGTCTATCAGAACTTCAATGCACTTCTTAATCATGCTGATACTTGGATTAAACCTAGCTCTTGATTGGCTAATTACCTGCAAAAGACAGAAATGTAATGTAACTTATTCATTAACAACAGAGTTCTAAATGCTTCCAAACATTTAGTGTCATTTTCTTTCATGACTAACACAATGCAAATGAACAAGACATACAATATTTTGTCTATATGACAGCCAATGGCTCTGTGTGTACTAAGGTCATGAAACTCGTGCTGATTCTTTATTTCCTTCACTGACTCGATCTATTTCTTTCTTCACTGGAAAACAGTAAGTTTCCAGTGTTTACTAATTTCTGTATATAAGGAATACTCTTAAAATGTTATATTTTATTGTACTGGTTTGTACAGCATTGTACTGTTTTATATCTATATTACAAAAAATCATGTATTAGTAGAGAAAATTTACAAATCCATTGCGCTTTTCACCATTTATGCTACTTCCTTTTTTTGAATGTCTTTTAATTTGATCTGGGACAATGAAAATAAGTAAGATCAGTTTCAATTCTGTTTAGTCTTTCAACTTTCAAGTTAACAATGCTGCAATATTTTACTTGTGAACAGTGCAGTATAATTTTATATATATGAGAACAGTTTCATTATGAAGTTAGCAGTTCACTAAAAGTATGTATAAATATTAGGCTTTGTAACTGTTTTTACAAAATCTAAATTGTTGAGCTAGCTTTAAGCTGACAGCATGCTTTGAAAAAGTCTAAAACCAGGACTGCAAGATGCCATATTTATTGTCTAAATGATATCTGAACAAAGTGTGCTCAAGACTACAAGTAACAGGATTGATTAAATCTAGCATGGGATCTCAGCGTCAAGAGGCGACTTGTCATGCATCATCATTCCCTAAGGCTGGCTCGTCAGCGTGGAAAAAAAGATACAGAATTGATTTTTTTTTTGAGACATCTGACGTAAGTTTATTTTTATTTGGAGTTTTAAAGACCATATTTGTGTGTGTGTGTGCACAGGGAGACAGGAAGAGCAGAAAATACCAAATACACCAAGTAACAAGCATTTTATAAAAACCTAGCCAGCACGTTATGCTATAATGTCACTCATTCTTAAATAACATGGCTGAAAACTATCAAACGCCCAAGCTTATTACAGATGATCCATTACACTGGACAGATTTAAATTTGAAAAAAAAAAGAGGCCTTGCTTACTCAGACAGGCTGAGGTATGAGAGAGGTCGTTAGCCATGTCAGTCTCAAATCAGGCAGAAGGGAGGGTAGATTTGCACCTTATAGACTAACTAAATCAAAAATGCATAAGCTTTCATGAGTGAACACACTTCCATCAGGGGCTGTGAAGGACATACACAAAGTATATCAACTAGAAAGAGTGATCTGAATACAGAAGACATGGGAGAGGAAGAGATGGGAGAGGGGAAGGGGGCCAGTGCTGGAAGAGACAAACAAGTAAATAAACCCATAGGGACAAAGGGGTCACAAAAGACAGACCATATTTTTTGTGAAAAATCTCAATGTCAGTTTCAGTCACAGAAATTGGAGTCTAAACACAGCTTCACTTACCCTCATTGTATTCACACCACTGCTTTCTTGTTAGAAGCTCTGCTTCCTACAGTCTCTTCATAGCATCTGATGAAGTAAGCTGTTGCTTATAAAAGCTTACACATCTCTGATTTACTTCATCCATAAGGTGCAACTTGACCCTGCCTTCTTAATTACTCTCAGGCATTAACTGTCAACTGGCTTTTCACAAGTGCACTTTACCATACAATTATAAGAGAATGACCTAGGGTCTATTCTTCCCTATGTGTAACAAGACTGTCTCCGAGGTTTCAAGCACTTACACCTGTGCTGCTGAATACTCAGTCCTTCAAGGCACTAGAACTGTACAGGTGAAGGATAGGGACTCCACATTTGGCTTTTATTCTTTGTTTTTCCTCCTTCCAAAATTGGAAATGTGGGCTGTGCCGCTCTCCCTACTGTTATCAGAGGCAGTTCAGACTTGTCCTGAGCCTCTGGGGCTTGGCCATGCCCTTTCCACCCACACATCAGATGAGCACTCATCAGTTGTGTTGAAACTTTGAATTAGTAGAGAAAGTAAAAATGCATTCACCTGAGATAACTATACAGATGCACTGGAAAGAGGCTGATGGAGACATAACTAAAGAACTTGGACCCTTTTCAGTAGCGGTTAGAGATTTTTGTCTTACACTCGTCTACAAATAAAGAGGGTGGAAGGTCCACGGCAGACCAAAGATATAGATGTATAACACATTTACATCTGTGTAGCTTACATCAGTGAATAAACCAAAGCAATTTACACTGAAGTCCAGAGTAAAAAGACCACCAGCTTCCTAGAGCAGGGCTGTCCAACTTCTGAATGAGTGAGGGCTGCATTGCCCCCCCCCCCCCCCCCTTTTCCAGGGCCACAAACCATGCCTCACTGTCTTGCATATCTGGCTCCCCTTGCTGCATGGTGACATGTTTCACAGTTGCTTTCAGGCTGTGGGCTTGTTGGGCTCACAGCCTATGTATGCCATGTTACTCCCAGGAGTGGAGGCAGGAGGCAGAAGCTAGAGGTGGGAAGGCAAGACCAGATATCCCAGCAGCCACAACAGATGAGCAGTGGAGGAAGTGGCGCACAGACCAGGAGCACAGAAGCTGTGAGTTAACTCCTTGAGGGCTGTATGTGGGCCCTCTGCTAGATAGCCCTGCTGTACGTGTAGCTGTCTGCAGTAGGCACTAATAGAGCAGTTCACCTCTAGGTGACAAGGGAGCCAGTAACGGTCTGTTTGTATTGCAAGCCAGTGATGGTGGTAGGTAGCTATATTGCGGGTAGTAAGTAGTCCTGGTGGATATGTTACTAGCTCTGCAATTAAATACTGCACTATGATTTTTTTCTTCAAAATAATGACCCTGGAGAGCATTTTCCCTTACCTCCTGAATAAGAGCATTATGTCGCAGCACTTTACGTGCTTTCATGATTCGGACTATAGCAGCTTGAAGGTACATTTTCCTGTCTTCATCTACAGCACTTCTGGTCTGCTCCATCTCCTGCAATATAGGAAGAATGGTGATGCTGCAAACACAGTAAGATCAGTAAACATTCATAAAAACATCTTCAATCAATGCTTTCTGCTTTAAAGTGGTCAATCATTTAACAACAAAAACCAAGCACATTTGGGGCTTCTGGGCAGAAGCCTCAACCCATGTCTATAATGCAGCTGGGGGAGAGGAGAAGTAGTAAAATGGTATGAAATGCACCTTTTCTCCTAGCTTGAAGCCACAGGGGCTTTGCAAATCTCTGAAGGCTAATCTTGCTATGAAAACTTAGAGCAGCATAAGGACTACTGCAGTTTACACTGATGGCTAACAGATCCCAACCCAAAGCGTACCATCTTGTGTCTGTAAATCCCCTGCTATGTCAACAGCAAGGAAGGGGAATAGTGTTAAAGCCTCTCTAACCTTCTACTGCCATCAGAGGATTCTGTTGGCATTTTAATGATACTCTTGGACCTAGATATACTTAGCCGTAGGGCCAAATTGTGCAGGAAGTGATATCTGACCTAAATCAAGCACAACCTAAGAACGTTATAGGCTGGCATCTATGTAGTTTGGATAATTATAATTCAAAAACCTCACCCCTAAGGACTTCTTTTTTGGTGTAACTTTGTCTGCTTAAGGTTTCTGCCACCACTGCTATGTCAGCAAGTGGCTAGTCTTATTCTAGGGCTCAATTCTGTGACCTGGATTCTATAGCCATAGAGTTGCTGAATACTTTGTACTTCAGTTTATGTTGGTGAAAAGTTTTCTCCAGAGCCCTGCAGTTCCGTAAAATCAAGCCCAATTTTAAAACAAACAAATGAAAAACCGGATCCAGCTGAAACAATAGATATTCAGTCTGATGAAAATAGATCATTTGAAAAGCTTCATTATGGGTCCATTCTCCCTTCTAGCAGTAATAAGGATAAGGAAAGAAACAAATTGATGAAGGTTTCTGAATGCTGAGGATGGAGGGGCGAGGTGAGGGGAGGGGGGAAGGAGCGAAATTAAAAAAAAAACAACACACATCTCAAACTGATTGGCTCTTTCAGGACTGCTTAGATGCTAAAGTAGTACATAATTTTCACTGTTTTTAATGCACTACCAAAAAGGTAATCACAATGGTTTTGGATAAGGAATGCTAAAATTCAAGCTAAGTGTACCCTCACATTTATATACTCAAACTTCATTAAATCAACAGAATTTGGAGAGGTCGTAATTTCTAGCTCAAAAAAAATAAAACCCACAACTATATTCTACACTGTAATCTAACTCTCAATACTATCTTAAAGGTTTATAGTAACCTTTTATAAACTAAATTAAAGGTTTATAGTGCTATCAAACTATAAATATCTATTATTAGCAGAAAAACATAGATCCATTTTTAGGTAAAACTGAAGAAATTGGGTTAAAGGAAACATACTGGTCTACTATTTGTCCTTTAAGTCTAAGTCTCAGAAGACAAAGTCTACAGTTATTAAATAAAATTTATAAATTACAAGCAGATATAGAGGATGATTTTCCTATATGTAATACATTTATCTGCTTAAAACAAATTCAAGACAGACTGACAATTATAGACTTAATAAGATAATATTATCTTCGTTTTCCATCTATAAAGATGGATAATTATGGCCAGTTAGGGGAATCTGGAGAATGTTAACTAGCAAGATTTTTTTCTCAAGTAGCAAGGACATACGGCCTTCCTGGCTTATCAACACTAGCATGGGCTGCATACATTTCTTAAGTGTGTAGGGGAAAATGAGATAAGCTACTTAGTTCTCAGGAGTAGTGTTCTTTGAGATGCATTACCCATGTGCATATTCGGCCATGTGGGGTACTACTGTATGTGCTCCATGCCCATGATCTTAGAGACTTTTTTTGCCAGACAGATGGGCCCTGCTATTCCTCGTGCTTTTCACCAAGGACCTAAAGGGTGGAATTGACTTACTGATTTCAGTTTCACTGACAGGCGGAACCCAGGTATACTAGACCTCACGGAAGAGGGAATGGACAGCAGATTCCAGAATATGCATATGGAAAATGTACCTTGAACTCAAGTTACAATAAGAAAGTAACTTCTCACATTACAATATAGGTGACTCCAGAGTCTTAGTCAGACTATTTGGAGTTAGGATCACAAAGCCTAAAGCCAGTCTGTGACTGAAGTACCATTTCAAATGCTAAATACAATGTTTGATCTGCAGACTTTGCAAAACTGCATGATTCTTCATAATGTTAAAACGCAGCTCCACATGGATGTTTTGCAGATGTCAAATATGGCTGTGTTTTTCAGCAACACTACAGATGCTGCTTCAGTTCTGGTGGAGTAAATTCTATTATTCCCAAGAAGGTTCACCTTGGCTACTGTCAAAATCAATTTAGAAACAGAATTTGGAAATGTTCTGGGAGGGAAATAACTGTGTCTTTTTGCTATGGCCATAAACAGCTGAGGAGATTATCTAAATTGTTCTGTCCTCTCTAAGTAAAAGGCCAGGATACTATTCATGTCCAATGAAATGATGCTTCAGTCCTGGATACACACCTTCTTTGAGGGAAAAATATTTGTTAGTTGGAGTTAATCTCGTGACTACTTATAGATCTAAGTTAGGATGTGTTCTGTAGTATATGCAGCTTTACATCTCTCCTAGCCTTCCTGCTGGGATGACTGTGATCAAGGTGGCTGTTTTCAGTGACAAATGAAGCAGTGATGATGACACTGATGCAAATGGCAGGTTCATGAAGTCTCTAATTGCTACAACTGAGACAGCATGATAGGATTATATATTCTGTGTCACATGGTTTTGTTTTGGCTGTCTTCCTTGTTTGTTGCTGTCATTACTAGAAGGAATGACTGGATGAGTATACAAATACTCTAACACTAAGTGGAACTTGGTGCTCCTTGTCCACTTCACATGAAGTGGGGGTTTCTACTGTAGTGTTTGCCAGGCTAGTTTGGTGGGATGCATTATTGCTTTGTTCAAGGCTAAGTGGTCATGGCAAAGGTTTGGAACTAGGATACAAGCTAAGAACCAAAGATACAAACAAGAATCAAGATACAAACTGAAGATCAGCCGACAAGACCCAAGTCAAGGTTCAGGAGCCAAAGACAGAAACCAGGAAACAAACCAAAGGTCTGAAGACAGGTTTAGAACAAGTGGCCATGGGCTCTGGTGGTGACTAGCTATAGAGCAAGTGAACAACTGGGTTTTATTCCTACCATAAATACTAGAGTTATTGCTCTAAGCAGCTAATGTCATAACTATATTGTGGTTACCAAGTGCCAGCTGAGAGTGCTCATTTATCTGGCAGCTGCTCCCAGGCCTCAGTGGACTAGTGAGGGAAACTCCAACCTATTACTAACCCAGTAAACTGCATAAACTCGCCACCTGAGTGCCGCTGGAGGGACTCTGCATCACTGACCAGGGGGTCCCTATCGTATCACTAAGATAAAAGCAGACAAGGGTAGCAAACCAGGATTCTGCAGCACAAGTTTAATCTGCTTGTGTTCAAGAACATGGCTTGTTCTGCTTGCTTATGCTGATTTTTTCGTTTATGGCAGGGTTATTGTGTCCATCTGGATCTGTCCCAGTACCCTGGACACTACTACATAACTTTGTACCTGTTGTGGGAACTGGTGATAAATCTTTCCAGTCATCAGTGTCAACAAGCTGAAGGCTCATGGGGACAAACCCCAGGAGGAAACTATATGGAAATTACATGGGACTGAAATCTTGATAGGGGACTAGTGGAAAGGTTGGGATCCTCCCATCGAGGAACTCTTCATGAAAGGTCTACCTCTTGAATTTACCCTTCCCTTCATGATGTCTTCTTATCCAACAACAACATGAGAAATTTGCAGCAGAGAGCCTGCAGCAGGGAGTCATGGGTTCTCTAGAGGCATGCCTAGGTGGGTCTTGAGCTCCTCAATCCAAGGCTAGCTCCAGTGATTTGTTCACAAGATATATATTCATCTTTGCCTCCTTCTCTTAGTAGGTTTGCAAGATGAAGGACTTAAAAGATGGAGTATTTGCTTGAGATGTGGGATTCTCCAAGGCAGTATAGGCAGACAAGGTTCTTTGGGTGAATCTGATATATTTTATTAGACCTATAAAAGATATCAGATTCACCCAAAGAACCTTGTCTGCCTATGTCCTTAGACCAACACGGCTACAACCTACACCCCCGCAAGGCAGTATAGGAATTTACTGTTAACCAATTGCCACAACAGCCTCCTAGAATAAGGTGCAATACTTGAAGCCACATGACCTAGAAGAAGTCACTTCTTTAAATCATCAGGTTGCCAACTGCCAAAAGGGAAACCCAGCTCTCCTGATTAACTGGTTAAATTATCTAAAGTTAAAGGAGTTAAGAGTTGCTGCAGCTATCTGCAACAGAGACCTTGCTGGGGAGAACTAAAGAACACTATGACCTACTACACACTTGGTGCATGGTACGGAGGGTGGCTAGGTACTGTTGGCCTCACTGCAGGTGCATGAGATGCACCTGCTCTCTGCAGTGAATGTGCGTATGAACAGTCACTTGAAGGAGAAAATCTACTTTTGCAAAAGCCTAGGATGTTTTTACTAACAGCAGCCAAATTAGCTAAGCCTCCACATGTTATAACATATCAGGAAATGCATTATCTGAGAAATGATGAAGACTTTAGGTTGGCTTTGGAGTATGAATACCTTCAATCACACACTTGAGAAATACACCAACAGCTGACCAATGCATGTCTTACAATGTCACTGATTTTAAATTTAGCTTCTGAGATTATTTCTTCTGCCAGGAAAACAGTCCTTAGTAAGAAGAGACTAGCAGGGAGGTTTTATGGAAACATTTTTATTGTCTTAAAAAAATCAGCTATTTCATTTTTTAAAATTACTTTAAAAAAATTTTTTTAAAGACATTTACAAAACCTGGGCAGCCAAACCATTTACCAGTAGGTAAAAGGTAGCAGGGATTTACCATGTTCTGTGGGTCTGCAGAAATTGTCTGCATGCTTATTCTTACCACACAGTAGATGAAATCTCAATGAAGGCTAAGCTATTACATTTCAGCTGCTGCAAGGTAAGAGTGTGCAAACAGGCAGTTACCACAGAGTAACTGATTTACAGTAAATACCCCCCACTTTTTACCTTGTGGTAAGTAGTTCATCCACACCTACTCAGAGACTGAAAGCCCCATCTCCTTTTCCTGTCACCTCTGGATTCAGATATCCTTTCAAGCAGCAACCTGTCATCCAAAAGCCATATTACACTCTCAAATTTTATGGAAATAGTAAACTTAGCTTCTAATTTAGACTTTGTCTATAATAGATGGTTGGTCCTCTAGTGACAAAAAGCTGATGAAAGAGATGTCAGGGCAATGGAGTATATAGCAGGTGGCTGCTTCTAATTACTCCAACATCTTCTGTCAGTTGTTTTTCCCCCACTAAGGTCTTGTGCACAAAACACACTTGCAGTCATCTGCTAGAATGTTTTTAAGGTATTTAGTTAAGCTGCTATAAACCTGCTCTGTGGAAATGCTTGAATCTGTTTACACCATTACACTTATTTAGATTAAACTGGTTTTAAACAAAGCTCTTTAAACTGTTGAAGACATTAAAAATACTTGCCTGTGGTGTGTCTTTTTGCATTGATGTGGTAATTTTAAATTTTGTTCGTTTACTGCTGAAGTTCATATTTAATGAAAATGTAGACTCTGCCTCTATATCTTCCTGTAGTGAAAAAATAAATTGTATATTTTTACAACTAGAAAAGATGCCAGAAAGTAAAAGCAACAAATATCTTTTCTAGGAATGGCAAATGTTTTCCTTGGAAATTATGGCTTGAATAGGCAGTGACAAATGTATTGAAATTTATTCCCTTTCAGGAAAGCTAAAGAACAATTATAATTGGATTATTTAGTTTTTCTCATATTGCCATATAACCAACCTGGAAAATCAGCTAATTTTTAGAAACAAAGCAAAAAACAGCAACATATATGAATACTAGTATACTACTGAAGAAGTCAAAATATGAGAGGAAATTTTGGTTCATTACTCTAATAACTTGTTTTAGTTATGCTAATAAAGAAAATTCAGGTAATTATTTCGGGATTAAAATTTAGGAGAAATCTTCCTGACACTGCATTTAAACCCAATTTCTTCCAACAGAGAAGACCAGAATTTGCATTTATTTATAGCAGAACCTCAGAGACAACTACAATTACTGCATTGTTTGCTTTCAAAATTAAACAATTAATGAAACACTCACCTACAGTATTTCTGTCATTGTAATGAACAGAGTTATCCAACCACAGGTTTTCCTGCTTCACACTTATCTCTAACCCCTAAGTCCCTTCCCACCATCACAACTCATTATTTACTTCCTTCAGGTCCAAACTTGCAGCTCCTTTTCGTGAATGGCAGCCATTCGCTGCAGCTCAAACGCAATGTCCTTCTAAACTGGCCAGTAAGATGCATAGTTTCTAAGAAAGGAACCCAATACAAGTACTTCCAGTTCTAAAAAAATGTACCACTCAGGCATGATGTTGCAAATTTAACATGAAAGGTCAGAGATCAGTAGTTAGAACCAATATACATATATTATTCAACAGCTATAAGATTTATTGGGCCAGATTTGAAAAGTTATTTGAGCACCATAGGTGCCTAAACTCCCACTAAATTCCTAAAACCTTTATAAATCTAACCCATTATGCTTAAATTGCTAAATCCCAACGTTATATTCTATACAGGAACCAGAAAGAAAACGATCAGAACAAACCACTGCATCTTTTACCAATTCATTTCCTGCCTTTTTACTTGAACAGAAAGCAGATGCAGTAGTAACACACTGTGATTTTTATTTTCTTAGAAAGTATGTGGTTCAGATACTGGTCAACCACTTTAAAAATAGGAATGAGCAAATTTAAATTGTACTGTTCTAGCACCCTGGGGTTCACTAGCTTGTAAAATAAGCAAGCTGACAGAATGTGCATAGCTCAGCTTTCTCATTGTTTGATAGAGGAAAACATAATTAGTGCAGGTATTTTGATACAAAGATCCTGTAGCTAAGGACTGAAGACTACAGAAGTAAACATATTCATAAGTAAACAGCTTAGAAATCTACTGCATTCACCCTTCCAGCATCAAGTCGTATTAAAAAGGTGCACAAATCCATTGACATTACACATGCCTAATCATGTACCCTTTTTAATGGACTTCCTGCATTAACTATCACTTTGAGCTTTCATATCACTAAATGGATATCTGTATTAGCTTCCTATGACCAACCAAATTCCACTCAGTTCCTGGTAAGCTTCTACCTGTAGTGTGACCTTGAATTGTGAGCTCCCAACATAAACTCATTTCTGGATCCTGTCAGATAGCTGCCCTTGTGTGAAGAATCCAAACCTTGCTTGTGAACTCCCTTCCCACATCCTGATAGTCTTTCCTGGCAAACACCTGGATCAGCAAGCAAAGCTGCCTTGGTTCCCTGACCTCTCTTGGTAAGCCACATATATGAACAACCTCAGCTTAAGCTGATGGATGTTACCACAGTATATAAGGTTTTCTGAGAAGGCTGGAGAGAAGACTACAAACTTCAGCAAACAAGCATTTCTACAGTATTCATCGCCGTAGCACCTGAGCTTGAAAAATACTTCATTTTACTGAGGCAAGAACACAGGGAGAGGTCAAGTGACTTTATCATGATTTTCTGCACAATCTTGATATCAAGAAACAGAACACAGACCTCCTGATACTCAGTCCAGTGCTGTAACCACAATACTACTCCAGATGTTACTACTTACAAGAGGAGCCCTACTTGCTGGTGAAGTGCGGTAGTCACAGGATTCTGATCTGTTTGCTCCTTCCCATAGGGAAAAACCTACTGAGGAAAGGGCACAATGACTGCTGCTCTTTGCTCCTAAAACTGGACAGTGCTTTGGTCACAGCACCTGATCTTCAGGTTCAGCTGAAGACCCTGCACTGCCTCCCAGCTGCTACAGCTTTTCCCTTTCCCCAAATTCAGCCCATTACTGATCAAGCCTGCTTTCAGAGTCCTTCTTCTCAATTTTTTACCCTAAAGCCCTAAATAGTGTCACGCTTCAATGGGGCTCACTGGAAAAAAAGCACAGCTGTAGGCTTTATTACCTTTTCAGCTGGTATAAGACAAATTTGAGGAAACTTGGTAGCATGGCTGTTCTTCTACCTGCCTACAGGATATACAAAACTTTGTGGACAATATGGCTCATTGTCTTACCCATGTAGATCTGGCAAAAAATACGTGGGAGCAATAAACTGGCTCCAAAACAGGAAGAGGCACCAGGGAATTTTCATTTAAAAAGACAATATATGACAAAACCAAACCAACCCGGGACTGGGAATATTAAACAATCTTTATAACACTACCACATACCTTATCTGAATCGTGGTTGATCATTTTGACATCAAGTAACGATTTGATGGTTTTTGTCAGTTCCTTCTCATTCATTTGTGTGCTATCCTGAAGCTCTTTGTAACTGACAGTTTCACTGTTGTTGAAGGCAAGTAGTACTGCCATTTGGTATGTTGTAACCATGGCTACATATGGTTTGCACAAATAGTTCATTTTAACTTCACCTGTAGTAGTAATAGTAACAATTATTTCACGAACTGGTACAATATACCATTAAGTCATACATACAAAGGTCAGAGATTTGCCAAATTTTGCAGCCCACTAGGCAAGCATGATTAAGGAATACTAATTTTTATAGCCAATGGCACACAGGAAGCTGTGTCCAGCCATCATGGATTCCATGAGATCAAATACCTAGGTACAATTTGCAGCTAGGTTGACTGAAGGATGTCTTCGGCAGAAGCATGGCGTAGGGCTCAAATTCAAGCCTCTGTAGACAGACACCTTAACTGCTGTGCTACCATACCCACCATGAAGTGACACAGGACTTGATTAGTAAGACTTTTCTCTGCAGCCTTGTATAAACAGTACCAAGGGTATGCATTTCAAGACTTTCAACCCACATTCATGGCCAGACAGGCATTTAAATAACCATCTGTGGGTACAAAACCCTGACTGTGAACATATCTTAGATATACACTCACCAATGAGTGTGTAAGCAGTGGCATGAACTTTCTGACAAAAAATTCTGGCCAATCACATACGCTAGACATGCACCATGCATCCTGTTTTCAAAATAAAGAGAAACCTGATAATGCTGTACTGGGACACAGTTGATTTTCACTTAAAATGATGAAGAAAAGTCTCAAATAGTTTCAATAAAGTGCAGTGTGAACCACAATTTGTAATGACATTCTGTGGGGGGCAAAAAGGCTTTTCTATAAAGGAGGTTTCCTCAATATTATTAGTTCATGTTCTGAAAAAAAGGAAGCAAGACTGGTGAGAACCAGTCTGAAAACTTCAGTTTGTGTTTCATGATCTGCTAATGGGGGGATTCAATTGTCATGCCAATGTACGTATCGAAACAGCACTACTGTGTGCTAGTCTATACATGAACTCTGCGCAATAACCTGCACTCCTCAAACATTTTATTTACTTGAAATGCAGGGTGAATGACCGCTAATAAAACTATAGCTTATTACATGTGACAAATCACAAAGTAGCCTAATATGTACTACCACATTTACTTGAATCTAAGATGAGGTTTTTCGCCCCAGTCAGCATGGGGGAAAAACCCTTGTCTTAAGATTCGCTGTACAAAGCAGAACAGGAGTGGGAGGGGCAAGCAGCTGCTGTGGCTGACTCTGGCCCTGAGCCCAGGGTGGCGCCAGTCAGACCCACAGCAGCCTTCTGCCCTCCACCCCTGCTTGCCCTCTGCAGCTTCTCCCCCACCCTCTTTCCTGTTAGGTGCAGCTCAGCTCCAGCACAAGCTGTTTTCCCTTTGGGCATGGAGTACATAGAAACTGTCCCTTCTGGCCAACCAGCAGTTCCAATACTGCTGCATGGCCCCTGCCTTGCCAATTAGCAGTGCCAACACTGCTGTATGGCCAGCAGGGGCTGTACTGCCATGTGCTGTGCTCCAGGAGGAAACAGAGCCCACACAATGTCTGACAGTAGGGGGGGAAGGGGGAGGGGAAGAAGCAGAGACGAGAGAGTAGGGGGAAGGGGCAGAGGCTGTGGAGAGCTGGAGGTGGGGAGGTGCTGGTAGCTGGGGGGACAGGGGCAGAAAGACTGCAAGGGGAAAAAGTTGGGGAGGCAAGGGCAAGGGGGAACCTGACTCCCATACCCCTTTTCCCACAACCACTGCTTTCCCTGCTGTAGCAGTAGGAGGGGGACAAATTTAAGACAACCCTCCAATAATTAGATTCTATACCTGGAAAATTGTAACAAATTTATACATTTTCCATATACAGAATCTAATTATTTGGGGGTGGGGGGGTCATCTTAAATTATGTAAAGTAAATATGGTAACTGGGAATAAATAAATCTGTTTCCTGGTTTACACATTTAATGGTAACGAGATTTGATTTTTATGGTTCCCCCCGATTGTGAATCACAATAACTGAAAGTAACATTTTTTCTTATTTCTTTTCATGGTGATTGGCCACAAATTGGTCTTCATTAAAACAATGTACTCATTTTAAGATAAAAAGGCATCCAGAATGTCAACCAGTATAGTCCACCTAAATGGTTTTAAATGAATTAATCTACTTACTGTTAATCCAGAAATTTGTCATGTACGTCAATATGTTTTTACCCAGGACTGAATGTACTAAATTTATACATAGTATTTTATCATCTTGTATTCCCTAATTGAGAAAAACTATTACCGGTTTGCCACATTAGTATAAGTATTGATACAAAAAAGGAAGATAATGTTATATACAGCTTAAAGCTCTAATCCTACATAAAAAAATTATTCCAAATCAGTAAAGGGCTTAGAAATTCCTGTAACCGATAAATTTTTATTGGCAGTGTTGTAAAGTATATTCTGTAAGTTATAATAATACTTTAACTGATTATATTAATTACAATATAATTAACCAGAAACATGCAATTATTTTTACCTGTACAAAGATAATGTAACCAAGTAAGCTTTCTCCCACTGAAATGCTGACTGTAAAATAATTCAAACTGCAAAATAAAATAAAATTTCAGTTAAAAATCTCTTCTGTATAACTATTTGTAACCTGAATATTTTACTGTCATACCATTGTCATTATTGGTACTAATTAGGTGTTCAGGATTTTGTACCAAGACATTTAAAAACTGATACTGTATATATTCATAAACATATAAGTAAACTGAATAGTTTAAGCATTTATGGGTGACCAAAATGACTTTGGTCAAACATATCTGTCATTGGAAATCTAAGACTTTATAAGAGAATATGGCACAAAGACCAATGAGACATTACCTTAAGAACCTTGTAATCAATGCAATAGCTTGGTATTTTTCAAATGCAATTTTGTCATTTAGACTGGAACCAAGAGAATTTTAGATACAATTATAAATGATAGTATTATACAAATTGTATACTAATTTACTGTTGCTATTACTACACACCAAACATATTTATCACTTAATCTTTTTGGTGCAATCATTCACTAGTTCTGATTTATTGTGTAAATCAAGTTAAGAAATTCACTTTGATTTTTTTGACGCAGCTTATCTAGATTTAGATATTTTAGGGGACATGCAGACGAGCGCAGATGTTTGTTTCCCCGAGGACAAGTAGTAGCGGCACACCTTGTGCCGCTGCTACTTGTCATCGGGGAACGCCCATGCCACGTGCACTCTGGCATGCAGCAGGTTACCCTGGGTGGGATAGGGGAGGCTGAAGCCAGCAACTGGGCTGGCCCTAGCAGTCTTACCTGTGGTCCTGGGGGCCTCCTGGGGCTGCAGCTGCGGCAGGAAGCCTGGCCAGCAGCTGGAGTGTGGCTAACAGCCACGCCAGGCTCCTGTTTTGGGCAGTGCACAATGCCACTATGCATGGTGACCCACTTTTTCTCGGCATGGACTTTTTTGATCTCGGGATCTCCCAGGGTCAGAAACCCCCCCTGTGCTGCAAGGCAGAAGCGCAGGGAATACCTGAATGTGCAGTGCGTGGCACTGCAGACTGGTCGTCTGGATGCAGCCTTAGTGGGTATTCATTATAAAAGTGAACTATATATAGTTATATGTTACCATATTTATGGTGATGAACAATTATAGAAGTCAACCATTTACTGGAACAATTTACATTAATGAAATGATTCAAGAGAACACAAAAACTACCCATCTTTCCAGGTAATGGACCATAATATCACAAATTAATTTGAATGCTTACAAATAATATACAGAATATACAGCATTTAATAAAGTATATTAAACTTACAATTTCCTAAACTGAATAGAGGATAAAAATGTTAGAATATTCTTAATCATCTGACCCTTATAAATCTTTCTTTATTTTAAAATTAAATTTGTCAACTTTTTTATTTTCTATTTCTATTACAGTAGTCTCCCCATAACAAATTTATTCTAATTTACTGCACACTACGAATACGTTTGAATAGTCAAAACATCACGTACAATATATACTATCTTCTTTTCAGAGTTCATATAGTTTGCTGCACTCTGGGTGGCAGGCAGGCTATTAGTGAACAGGATCTGACATGCTCATCTCTTGTGATGGAGGAGGAGGAGGAGAAAGAACAAAGCAGTAAGACTGAGCAACCCTCTAACACCCCCTGGCTGAAGAGCACACTGTATGGTACACATAAGCTGTAAGGTACTGAGGGAGAAAAACTCAAAATGTGAATACTTGAGGTGCATATCCAAGCATGAAACTGGGCAGTTTTCTGCCCAGGCTGGCAGAAGCCTGGCCAGCAGCGACTGCTATTTTTTGCCTTCTAAGCTGATGCACAGGGCTGGTACCCCAATCACTTGCCCTTATTTATAAGCACAATGACAACTTCTCCCTCGGTGAGTGGGCTACTTAGCCCATATTCAGTGCCACACAAACTGCTTCTGATCCAAGAGACAGTCTACTGTGTTTGGGATACTCTGTCTGACAGTAAATCTGCAATGTAGTTGTGCTATACATCTTGTCAACTCAACATTTTACTTTGTAAAATAAACCATTAGCCACAGTAAGAACAAGGTATTGATCAAAAAATGTTTATAATAGCTAAGGTTTCAAGAAAACAGACCACAGGGTTAATTTAGAACAGGAGAGATAAATGGTGCCTGCAACATAATTTTATATAACTGTTCTAGTTGGCAAATTAATAGTATTCTTGCTTCTCTCTTTGCAAGTCAATGTCAACAAACTGAAAATAAGGTGGTTTCAGTCTTAGAGCTTAAAACTTCCCCTAAAATACTTGAGATGAAGTAGAAAGTGTCGTTAACTACAAAGAACAGTGAATTAACTCTTTTTTTAAAAATGGGATGACAACAATCATGTAAGGTCCTTCTGCCAGCTTTGAACCAGCAACTAAATCCAGCAAGGCTCTAATTATACCCAAAATCTCCAGGGACACCTTAACATTTCAGTGAGTAGGAAGTTCAGCTTCCTGGAGCAGCCTGTCAGCAGGATCTGACATTTGTGTTTAAGGTCCCCCTGACTTCAAACCCTTCTGGCTAGTTCCTTCAATTATGGACAGCTCTCAGGGAAGGAGCCTTGGAACTGCACTGTTATAGGACTTTAGCCACAAAAGCAGAGTCGTACTCTCACATTCAGCCCTCTCGAGCCTTGAAATCTCTGCAATCTGAAACAATTTTCTGAAAGCAGGGTTCATTCCTAAACAGGATAATTCCCTTAGCTTAACTCACAGAATGTAAGTCCTGCTTGAATAAAGAGTTCTTTTTCTAATTTTTAATTTAAGCTCATAAGTTTGTACTACAGACAGAAACGTATGGAATTTCTGCTCTATGATCAGACTCTGTGTATTTTCTAAGCTGACCTGGGTTGGTGCTATTCACATTGTCAGTAAGTCAAGCAAAGGAGCACATAACCTGTTGACAATAAATCTAGTGTATCAGTAATTTTATTTGATACACCTTTAGGATGCATAAGAATTATATACTGTAGTGAATAAAAAGAAAAAACTAGCAAATAAATTGAAAAATAAATATAATCAAATTCTTTCCCATTACCAAATGTGATTTTTTGCTCATATGGTGATAAGACACCCCTAGTTCAGGGCACACCTAGACATCTCAGCAGAGGAGAAAATTAGCATCTAAAGACAGCAATTTTGCAGACCTGGAAAATGTCAGAAGTAGATTTATAAATTATAAATAAATTATTTTTTTCATTTGTCCTGCTCTTGTGGTTTTCTCTTTAAAAATATCAATATGATGGGCTTATTTTGTTAAAATTGTAATGATATACCAGTGGAGTTATAACATTCAAAAGATTATCTCAGTTCATCACAAGAAAACTTATGATCAAAAATGAAGTGGAAGTAGTAGTAGTTTGCCACTTATAATCTTTTCACAGTCCCCATAACTTAAATCCCTATTTATGTCATCTGAATGCATACCAGATAAATTAGTTGTCAACACATTTTACAGTGTTGAATGAAAATACACTGCATACATACCCCATATTTTATATTATCTATTTCTCCTACTACCTATTAATTGTAATGATTTAATAAAATGGATATTTTTTAAAAAGACATTAGACCAATATAAAAAACAAATTATATTTAATTCCCCAACCTCAGGGAACAATACTTCTTGGAGAACCTCCCACAAGACCCAGAGGTTACTGATGAATAGAGAATATTAATTACAGAGAATATTAATTATATTTCTTACTTCCCCAAAGCTGTTTTGAAAGATGTACAAACTTGTGAGGTAAATTAATTTAGCTGTATATTTCTCCTAAGTAAAATCAAAAATAAAATCTTCCAGGACTGGATTAAAGTAACAGCTTAAATGGAACAATAAAATTAGGCATACACCTAAGGGTTGTAGCTAACATTTCTACATTATGCCTTTCTAGAAAAAAAAAGGTTGAAGTCTAGAAGCAACACAGCCAGCAGATAATCCCTTTACTACTATTCACTACACGGGTACAATGAGCCACAGGAATATATTCCTCTTAAAATCATCAAAGATGGACAGAGTGCTTCTTTGCTGTTGCTGCCATTTCTCTGGGGATCATGCTAAGACTGTTTCACTTGGCAATGAAAATAATAAAAATTAAACACCTTGATCAGAGTTAAATGAATCAAAAACTAACTTTCAAAATGAGGACTTTGATTAAGTTCCATCAGGAATAAAAGAGAGGAGCAAGATCCAGACACCATCTACTGTATTTCCTACTTGCAGCCTCCCCCAAATCACCCCTTTGTGAATCCTTCTGTGGGAAGTACTTTTAGTGTAAACATACTTAAAATGGTCCATTTGGACTAAATGGGCATTTTTACACGTACCTTTGTCCGCTCCAACGCACCGGAAACCCAGCGTGTCGGAGCAGACTTGATTAATTGAGTCTGCAGAGTGTGCAAGCTGACATGCCTGGCGCTGTCACATGCATTTATATAAATGGCAAAATGTACGTCAGCGCACAGAAAATGGCAGCAGTGGGCTTTTAAACTAAAACACCTTCAATGCGTTTTAGTTCAAAAGCGCACTGCTGCCATTTTCTCAGAGCTGACATGCATTTTGCTGTTTATACAAATGCATGCGCTGCAGCACCAGGCACCCAACGCTGTGGTGCATGCATGTGTAAAAATGCCCAATGTGATTAACATGTTTAAACCAGTTATTTAGGAGAACACTGGGAAACATTTTTAAAATTGATTAAAAAGTAAACTATTTTAGAAAAGTTATTTAGAACCTGACTCTTAAATTGGTTTCTAGTTTTTCTCTGAAAAGCAGAGAGCAATCTGCAACCCAGTTTCTTCTTTCCTTGATGACATACATTGAATGTCATCACTATGAACATATTATTGTGATTTACCTTGTAGCAAGAAACCGTTTTTTTGCCTGCCCCCCCTCCAATGTGAAGCCCCTCCATATGGCAAAAAGCTCCTTTTGCAGTATTTGCCCCCTTTTGGGGATACTTTGTCTTTTCTACCTTTTTCTCCTTCCTCCTCCTTTTTTTATTATATTATTATTATGTTTATAGACTATAAGGTGTACTTGTAATAAAAATATAGCTTGTAGACGCTTTTATGGGTATAAAATAGTATTCTGCATCAGTATGTCTGTCCCCCTCCCACCATTGTATTTGGTCTATTTGTTGTATGTGCCATGGCATTTCACCCTTTTATGTTTCATATTCTATGCTTTTTAACTTTGTAACAAATGTACTTTAAGTTTAAAAGTAAGTTGTACCACATAACAATGTTAGCAAGGGAGGAAATCAAACCGCAGGGTCTCTGTATGGAGCGGGTCCCTGAATGAATCTTGGTTGACTGCATAACACAGTAGCTAGACAGGACAACAGGCTAACAAGCAGCAATTAACACCTAAGAAACCACAGACTAAGGAGAGGAAAGGATCAATACAGAGCCAGGAACTCCCTGAAACTTCACTGTTAAAGGTACAGAAGTCCCGGTTTGAACTAATCGCAGCAGTGAATTAATCAAACTTTATCAACAGACTCCCAAGACTGCACGTACCTGCAGACATGACCCCTGGGGCTGACAGCTGCCATCCAGCAACCACCAAGGGGGACGTCCCACGAGGTCAACGACCCCTGGATTGGGTAAGCCTGAAAACTGGGGAGTCACCAAAAGTCTGCCAGAGAGGGATAAAAGGCAGCGAAGAATGACTCCCAATGGTGCCCTCTCTGACCTGACCGCACCCTGCCTGTCCAGCCAGAAGGACCTGCTGGTGACCCCCTTCTGAAGCAACATTGCACTGAAAGATGCCTTGACTGGCCATCGACAGCGGATTCCAGAGCTTAGGGATAGGTATATCGTGACATTGGTGCTTAGTGTTCATAGCTAGCTACTGTGAGTGTGTGCACGTGAATGTGTGTGTGCTTGAGGGGGATCAGCCCCAAGGTTTACGATCTGACTTTTGCATCCATCTAATAAACTAGAATTTTATGATGATCCTGTGAGTTGGTCCTTTGGGTGCAGGGAAGCATACACGCATACATCCTGCCCAGCATTAGCTGGGCTCCAACACAGCCTGGGGGAAGAAAAGCCTGGAGAACTCTTCTGTGCATGACACAGACCCTGCCCTCACCTTCCCCAACCCCAGTGATCCTTTCCTACTTTCACTTAAAAAAAATAACCGGCAAAGCTCTCTGGGTTATGTGCTCTAGGGACTCCCAGCAGTTCAGCATCTGCGCTGAAGGCTCTTTGCTTCTCTCTCTCTGAACTTCTGTACAGGTCAGTTTTTCTCTCAGGAAAACAAGCCTGGATGATTTGATTGTGTGTATGCAGCCTTAGCTGGCTGTCTTTCGTTTTTTTTTTTTAACATTATAAGCTGGGATACATACATAGCCTTTTCAGCCTGAAGCGATGCACTCTAAAATGGTGCTGCTTGTGAAGGACAGAAGGTATTCGTACAGTATTCCAAACATCAAGAATACAAATGGATGGGGATGTGTAGGTAAAGGAAAAAATATAGGGGAAAACCCTTACTGTTCTAAAAAAAATTCAAACTCTCTTACAGAAGAGTCAGAACCTTAATTTTTTAAGGTTTCTCTATATAATAGGACTAAAGACCTCTGTGTGTTGTTAAGATTAAAAGTTAGAAAAGATTGGCTTGTTTTTTTCTTTCTAAATATTAGGAAATAGTGTTGGAGCTCAGAAGCTTGTGTGCCATCCACATGTCTAGATCGGGGTGGGCAAAATATGGCCTGCAGGCTGGATCCGGCCTTCCAAATCATTCTATAAAGCCTGCGGCTGCTTCTCTGAAGAACTATATCCAGCCCGTGGCTGCCTTTGCTTTTGGCACCTCTTGCCCTTCTGCCTTCCCTGGGCTGTAGCAAAGGTCAGGTATGTTTTCCCCACTGACTAGGGAGGGGGCACAGGGGAAGAGGTCCAGGAGCCACAGGTTATCCGGGCCCAGGCCTGGTAGGGCTGTGGGCGCTGCTAATGCAGTGCCATGCTGTGTTCCCACGCACCACTTTGGCCCATGCCACATGGGTCCCTGGCATAGCTCCTGTGTGACCCCAAGTCCCCAACATGCAGCGGGGTCGGGCAGGAGCCACACCAGCTGCTCCAGCTATGCCCATTTGGCCCAAAGCAGTGCACAAGAACATAGCGCAGCACCGGCCCAGCCATGTGCTGGAGGGGTTGCAAGGAGAAGGGTGGAACACAGTGTGGCCCCAGCCCGGCTGTACCCAGATAAATCTGTGGCTTCCAGCCCCCTTTTCCCTGCCCCCTCCTCCTCCGCCCTGAGTTCCCCGCTCACAGCCAGGTTGGGCTGCTGCCACACTGTATTCCCACATACTACTTCAAGCCATGTGGTGAAGCTGGCATGGCTCCTGCCCAACCTGGCTGTGTGCAGGGAGTGTGTAGAGCTCATGCGCGTGCATGTGTATGCACACATGCAGCCCTCAACAGCTTAACAAATCTCATTAAGTAAAACCCTCCAGCCCGAATAATTGCCCACGCCTGGTCTATACAGGCAAAACTGAAATGTTGTAAAATAAAACTTTCATCTGGGGCATAATTCAAGGCATCAGATACCAGAAATTTGGATAGTCATGACTTTCATACAAAACTCAGTATTCTTACCGTAAGAGTGGTCAGCTTTTTGAGGGGGATTCAAATACTATGTTATTAAATTCACCACAAATTTATAATAAACCTCCTACTAACCTACCATCTGTACACTTTTTTCCAGTTCCTGAGGAATTGCAAATGTAGATGAAGGAGCCTGAGTTAGAGGCCATGCACCAGCCTGGGGGGAGAAGAAAGAACATTAGCATTCCAAAAGAAGTTAAAATTAGTTCAAAGGAGCACATGCACTAAGCCAAATCATTTTCTAAAACTCTGTCCTAGCATTCAAGTCATGTCTTAAGACATCCAAGTTGAGTCAGAAATTCTATTACTCACTAAAATGAGTATACCTGTGAGGCATTAAGCTCTAGGTGAGAAAACAGTCATTAAAGCATAACAACTTTCTACTTGTAAAGAACAAGGTAGGGCAGACTTTGAACCCTCCCCCTCCACCAAAAGGATAAACTTTTACATAAAACATGATTGCTCAATGGTGACAATATATTTAAGTTGTCAATTCAATCTGAAAAAAATCACATTTAGAAGTTAGAAAAAATGTTTGCTTACTATAGAAATACAATAAACTTCCAATCAATGAACAACAATAAACATACATTAGTACCTGTAGAACATATATCTGAAAACTAATTCCCAAATCTATAATGGTGTCCTGGTTTTTAATAAAGTTGTTGAATTTATTGTTGAGGTCAGCGCTAACACTCATGTCTGTATACATTCGATGGAGCTTGCTGGTAAACTCATAACCACAGGCTTGCTGTAAAGAAACATTGTAATAAATATAATAATTAAAACTGGTATTTCTTCATATACATTAAGTAGCACATACATAATACTACTTGAAAAGGCACGAGCTCATGCCTCTGAGCCAGTCTGTAATATGCCACCCCACCCTGCTTTGTGCCTAATTTCAGACTAACACAGCTAACTACCTCTCTTCTCTACTTCAACACCAAGGTAAATATATTACATTGAACCGATGTACAGATTTCTATGCTGCCAGCATTCTCTAGTGTCCATAGTATAGTCAACAGTCCTTTCATATGTAAAATTAGGAAACTTAATAGCATGTTTCCAAAATTTGTCCACATCCAAAGTTAATTTACAAAACTAAAATATAAAGCTGATTTTGCATGGATTGCTTTAGATTTGGATCACCAGTACTACTATGATGCAAATCTGGGATATTTGGGCACACTTGATACAACAACCCACAATACAGAATTATTGTAAAAAACTCAATATTATGTGGTAATTATTTTTTTGTGTTTCAGTATACCAATGGACAAATGAAGTCATACTGGCTGCTGCTAGATTATTTTTGGCACCCTCTGCTGGCCCCTCTTAATATGACTCTTATACCTGGACAGCTGGGCTGCTTGCAAACATGAAAAAAAAAACAAACCAACCATGCTTTACTTTAAACTTGGCATACTCCTGCACCAAACCCAGCGCCATACCCAGAAGAGGCAGTGTGTTAGTTTGACCAGGATCTGTAGCGTCTGTATAGATTGGGCAATTCAGAGGGGCTTTTTTGTTGCTTTTAGCTAACAGCAGATTGAATCAGAGTTATAAAAACACCAAAAAAAGCCTACTGAAGCACCCAATCTATACAAATGGTGCAGAGCCAGACTGAACTAACATGCTGTTTCTTCTGGTAAAGTGCATTTG